AAATATTCTGTGATTTTCTTCTTCTGTGCCACTAGTCAGAAAGCAGGAGATAAGAAGAGCTGAGTCTGAGAGAAAAAGCAACAATAAAAATGTCTAATATTGGTCTCCAGACCTAAATGGAAAATGAAACACGGTCTTTACCCCGAGCATAGTTGCTTGCTCTCTGCATGTCTCGTCTCAGCTGGGATACTTTTTCTTGCATCTCTGCGAAGCCCACATAGTTACAGTAATTCAGTTCTCCCTGCAGAGTCCAACAAACCTTGGCCTAGAACACAACAGGGAAAAGAAGACAAGACACTGAAAGCTCACTTCTGCAACACAGGCCCACAACGTCAACATCCCTCCAGCATTTCAGATGCCAGTTGTAATGGCTACAGTGCCGTTCATGGCTCCAGAGCTCCCATGCTCTCCGAGTGCAGGGATACACACACAGGAGTCGGTGCCTTCAAGCTACCCATTGAACGTATCTGAGGAATGCTAGCATGCCCCAAGTCCTGGAGGCCAGGAGTATCTACACTACTTATCTCAAACCTATAGAGCTCCTACTACAGGGAAGGACGTAGGCCAATAGCTTCCAAAACACTTCCAGCTGCAACCCAACTCTCTTTCCTGCTGGTGATGAGATAGCTCAAAATAGTGGTTTTTCTATATAGCAATGGCATTTTGCTTTTATTCCCACAATGGGATTTATCATTTATCGCTATAAAGGGATTTCAGTAACATTTACTTAGGACCTTTGCTGCTCTACAAACAATGATCTTGGAATCAAGGGCAGCGTGGGAGGACTAGAGACCTGATCTAGCACTTCCCTCCCTAGAGAGGATTCATCTTTGCAACATGATGGGACTGCATCCAGGATCCTCCAGACTTCTGTAGGGGAAAATCCTGAGGGAGTTCAGGATGTTTCCAGAAAATTCATGTGCACAAACACCTGAGGAAAAATAGGGATGGAATAACAGTACAAAACTAGAAATCAATATGCCCTAAGATGGAAAACCTAGTTGTGGCTTTTTTTTTTTTTTAAATGTAACTTGCCTTCCTATCTCACTATCACCCTAATGGCTTCGAAGATCTGGGGACCTTGAGTTGCAGGCGTTGCAGGTACCTTTAAAAAAGACATCAGGCCAGCTTCTTCCTTCTCCATCTGTTTCTGCTTTCTCACAGCCCTCTCGCAGATCCCTGGGTTCTGCTCCATGGCGGAGAACAGCTCGTGCAGGCACTGCTGAGTGTAGGACAAAGACTGCTCCTCGAAGTCCTCTGTGGAAATCAGCTTGCAAAACGACACGCTGAGGGGGTACTCGTTGTCAAACTCATCCAGGCTCTCCATCCTCTGCCTGACCAGAGACAACAGGGCCGACTGCCGGCTCCCTCCCACCC